ACACTGCACAACCACTATGACTCAGTGGGGGAACTCTTCACTGTAGTCACTCAGGGACCTAGAACAATAAGGCAGCCGCCATCTTGAACACAACTGCCATTTTGAAACTTAAAATCAAGGTGTTGGCCAGGGTTTTTTTTGTGAAGGCTCTGAGGGAGAATCTATTCCATTCTTCTCTCCTGGTGGGAGGGAGAAAGCTCTGGAAAGTGTCCCCTCACCAATCAAAGGTGCCAGCCCACGAGTGATAAGCACTATCTCCTCCCACAGTTCATTGACCAAAACTAGTAGCAGGGCCCCACCTAAGCAAAAGGGAGCTGGAAAATGTGGTCCTACTGTGTGCTTGGAAAGCCAGGCCAGAAATACTTGGCAAGGCACTGATGGTTGCTCCACCCTGTCTGTGTCACCCTCTCTGCTGGCTGGGCAGCACCAGCACCTCATGTATCTGTTATTCATGGTCATTTTCTCATTCTATTTCCATTCTACTTAGTTGCATTTTCATTTCCTCCTTAAGACTGAGAGTTTCTCAAGGACTGGAGCAGATCACAAGAAATGTTTGATGTAAGCATGCATTTGAGAACAGTAACCATAGGTCCACAGGAAAAGCCAAATTCCTTCCATGGTTTGCACGCCCTACATGCTCTGGACCCTGCTGCCTCTCCGTGCCCTCTCCTAGCCCCAGCCAAACTGTCACGGGGAATCAGCAAGTCCACCCTGCCTCAGCCTTCACATGCGCTGTTCCCCAGGGCTGAGCAGCACATCCCCTGCCGCTTGCCTGGCTCAGTACCCTACTTCCCTCTTATCAAAGAAGCCTTTCCGGAGCTTGTTCTGTAGAATATCACTTTGCCCCCTCCCCACACACTCAGTTACCTCCTTGGTTCCCTTGTGTTTTTTATTTTTCTTCAAAGCACTTACCACTTACTGAGGCAAACACCCACAAATGTATATTATATTATTGCATATTAAACATCATATAGTATACATTACATACATATTTTTGATATTTATTTATTGCCTGTTCCTCACCCTAGCATCCACACCCACATGAATGTAACTTCAGTGAACAAAGCTGAGATGCAGGTGGTCAATATATATCTGTCAAATGAAAAAGTGACAAAGGAACAAATATATCTCCCAAGTCTCCACATCTCCGGATCAAAATGCTGAATTCCTCCCTCTTGTATGACAAGATTTTAAACCCTTTTAATGTACATGCCACCCAGAAGTGATCAACGATCAGGGTACTACAGAACAGAATAACTCTTATTTGCCTTTCATTTTGTATTTCAATTAATAAAGCCCAAGTTTAAATAATAACTTGAGAGTTACAAGATCTGCACTATTGACTGTCATGATAAGTTTACTTATTGACTAAAAAGTATGTGTTTTTCATATATAAAACTGTAAATTTTCCTTTCTCTAGAATCTTGTTATTTTGGACCTGATGTTTCTTCCTCTCAATATACCTGTCACTTGTCTTCCTCTTCATTTTTAACATCATTTATTCTTGCACTGATTTATAGAGTGTATACTATGTACAAAATCCACATTAAGTGCTAAGGAGTATTACATGATAACTTTATAATTCCCATAAGAAAAAGATGGGTCAGGGGCTGGGAATTTAGCTCAGCAGCACAGCGCCTGCCTGGCAAGTGCAAGGTCATGAGTTTGATGCCTGGTACCAGAAAACAAAAACAAAAAAAGAAAAAGATGGGTCAGATAGATGGACTTTAGTTCAGCAGAAGAGATAGCAAGTTCCCTTCTCTGATGATGGCAAATCCATGGACAACAGAAGGTGGTAGTGGCACCCAAGAAATGCCACACCTGGAGCCCCAAAGATGAGAAGGCAAGTAAAGGCCCATAGGAAAGGGGTTTAGAAAGATCTTATAGTCATAAGGTCAGTTTGGTTTAAACACCTCACTCCACGTATCTCCAAGGTAGATTTACCTCATATGAATGTGCCGATAGTTCACCACCTCCCACAACAGTAAGGACCTCACCAGCCTTTGTTCAAGGATATGCTAAGGAGTAGGCTTAGTTGATGCCCACCGATAAATAAGACACGTAATATGTTCCAGCAATATCAGGGTGGTCCTGGAATAGAAGACGAGCCAGAACAATTATTCTACTTACTTGTAAACCATATTTATTTACTTTAGTTCATGTCAGTTACTGGGTAAGTATTGTACATAATAATTTAATCATCCCTCCAAACCTGTAAGGTAGGTATTGCCTCCACTTTATAAATTAAAAGACAGAGAGGTTAAGTGATCTTCCCACAGCTGGATCATGAAGGGGCTGAGGTTTGTGCCTGAGAAGTCTCACTTGGGAACCAATGGTCCCAACAGCTCTAGTCTGCTTTGCTTCCTCTCAATTGGAAATAAGGACAGACTTCAGTCCAATGTATCACGTAAGGGCTGAGTAACAAATATGTTTTTATGCTAGTCACTAAGACAGGCTACTCCTAATTCAATCAACCCTCAGACATTGCCCCAAGCTGAAGTTGAAGAGAACAGTGAAGCTTGCTACATTGGCTTCCTTGATGAGAACTTGGGTTAATGGAGAGGGAGTCAATGAATTGGAGAATGATTCAACCTTTTACTCACTGAGCATTTAGTCATTAATTGATCTGCTTATTCATCCTTTCATGTGTCTGCCCCTCTATTCATTCAAAAGCTATGTACTGAGCAGTGTCACTGTCCTGGACACACAGCTACATGCTGCAGAAAAGACCTTGTATGCCCTAAATGGACCTAGCAGTCCAGGCAGGGAAAAGCAGGCAAAGGAAACCAGTGATGTAGCTTGGTAATTCCTGGAAGAAGGGTGCTTGCGGGAGTTTAGGGAGTTAATTCTCCCTGCATTTGGGAGAATGGACAAGGGGCCGGAGAGAAAAGACGAGAGACAAATGCCTCATGGAAGAAGGAATATTGAATCAACCTGTGTAGTGGATTGACAACTGGTGATCAATTTATAACCCCCAGCTGAATTGAGTAAGCGTGGTGCTGGCTGTGGGAGGTTCACCTGAAGACTGGCCAGCAGCATAAGAAGCAGAACTGAAGAAGAAGTTAGGCTGTTTGGAGTGGAGAAAGGCTGTTGGGAGCTGGTGGAAGCTGTAAAGAGCTGTTGGTTCTGTTGGAGGTGCTTGTCATTCTGGCTTTCCTGATGAACGTGGCTGTTTCCATCCTCCAGGTAGCTTGGGGCCTTGTTGGCACTGAGAATAGCTTCACTTTGGGGGAGCCCTGGTCCTCACTTTGAGCATCGCTTCCTGGCTCTGGAGGGGAAGATTGTGCACTGCTGGTCTCTCGCAGAAGCTTGCTACATTGGCTTCCTTGATGGGAACTTGGCCATCTTGATCACTGGAGGAGCTCAGGACCTCACTTGCTGAGGATGGCTGTGGTACCTTTCAGGGGAGCTCTGGTTCTTCTGAGCATCGCTTGCTGGCTCTAGTGTAGATCCTTCAGCCTGCTAGCGTAGATCCTTCATCCCATTGGCACAGACTTTCTAGATTCCACCACTGACCTTGGGACTTCCCAGCGCAGATCTCTGAAACAGGCCTACATGAGATATTGTTATGGGCTCTGGGCCTCCAGGAGGACTCGTGGGAGGCATTGTCATGAGCTCTAGGTATCCAGCTGGACTCATGCAGCACATTTCCATGGGATCTCAGCTGGATTCCTTGGTCTTAGTGTGTGGATAGATTTCCTGCACTCTCTTGTATATCACTCTTTGGGTGACTGTTATAAATAATCCTATAAAATATGTGCCCTGTGTATTATTGTTTCCCACTGCAAAAATATTCCCCCAAACCAACACCACCCCAAACAAAATTTTCTAATCTTAGTACTTCTGTGAAGAGTCTAAAATTTGTACAATTTCCATCAGGGACAAGAGAAAAGACTGGATACCTTTTTCAAGACAGGCACTGGGAATGGTCATTGAAGCACAGGTGTGGAGGCTAGTCAGGCCTGCATTCAATCCTCACCTCTCTAGGCAGAAAATGCTCACTGCAAGATGAGGATAATCCTAACACACCATTATCGGCAATCTAAGAGCCAAGCAAGGTTGTATGTGAGGTGCACAGCACAATCTATTATCAGCTGACATTTGTTACTTTCTTTTCAGATTCATAGTCACTCTTGTTCCCTTATTCTTAATTTCCTTGGTAATTCTAACATTGCCTCAAAGACCAAAGTTTGTAAGTCTCTTTTCTCTTTTATATGGGGAATAAAAAGGGACAATAATTTCTGTTAAACTGATTTTTATTACTGTGAATTTATTGTGTTCCATGGTTCTTGGTGACTAGGTAACCAACAGACGATCTAATTTATTATTTTAGCAATTTTAACAAGACCTGGGAAGAAAGGCACCCTGTGATCACAGAGCCCTGGAGCTGTACTAATGAGAAGATTAAAAGAAAGTTCAGGGGCTGGGGATTTAGCTCAGTGGCAAAGCTTCTGCTTGGCAAGCGCAAGGTCGTGAGTTTGGTTCCTGGTACCGGAGAAAAACCAAAACCAAAAAAAAAAAAAACCGTTGTTAAAAAAGAAAGTTCAGTTCATAGAGGCCCAGATAATCACAAATGTACCCGGGGATAATTAACAGTCACAATTACCTGGAACTATATCATGTGCCTGGCTGGTTGTTCTAAAGTCAGCCCACATTGAATAGATGAATTTAACAGAGGTAATGATTAAGTTATTTGAAAGTGGCTGGTGAGGTTCCTTCATAATAAATATTTGGAGAGATATGAGAGGACACCTAAGGTTCCACAGTCCCTTCATCTCAGTTGTCATCTAGGAACTGTGACTTCCTCCTTCATGTGCTTCTGCTTGATGCAGAAGCATCATCTGTTGCCAGGGATGCAGTCCTCCAGGAAATGAAGTCCTAAGCCTTCTGACTCTGACACTTACTGTCCCTTCCCAGCATGGCCTTGATGGTGGATGGGGACAGCCACAGTGCCAAGGTGCAGGTCTCAGGGTCTGTCTGGTCCCTTCGTTTCTTTGCAGGCTCCTTCCACTCCATGCTGCGCACTGCAGGCTGCCCCTGAACTGACCCCAGGCAGACAGGAGAGGATGGGCACAGACGGGGACACAGTGGTCCTGAAGAACATGCTCCTTGGTGTCAACTTGATCCTGCTGGGCTCCATGCTCAAGCCTTCAGAGTGTCAGCTGGAGGTGACCACAGAAAGGGTCCAGAGACAGGCGGTGGAGGAGGAAGGAGGTGTTGGCAACTACAACACATCCAGGAAAGAGCAACCTGTGGTCTTCAACCACGTGTACAACATTAATGTGCCCCTGGACAGCCTCTGCTCCTCGGGGCTGGAGGCCTCGGCTGAGCAGGAGGTGAGTGCGGAAGACGAGGCTCTAGCAGAGTACACGGGCCAGACCTCAGACCACGAGAGCCAGGTCACCTTCACCCACAAGATCAACCTCCCCAAAAAGGCCTGCCCGTGTGCTGGCTCAGGCCACATGTTACGCGAGCTGCTGAGCCGGATCGAGATGCTGGAGAGGGAGGTGTCGGTGCTGCGGGACCAGTGCACCGCCAACTGCTGCCAGGAAAGCGCCGCTACAGGTAGAGTCTGAAGGGCTGGCAGTGGGGTCCCAGGTGGGGAAGGAGAGGGCACGGTGGGCAGCAATGGGGGCGAATGAGTGAGCAGAGGCAACACCCAGCATCTCTTTCCACAGCCCAAGGAAGAAAGTGTCCCAGCTCATAGCTCTCGGTTAATGTGTCTGTAAGATCTAAATGCAGTCCTTCCCTGGGGATTCAGTTCAGGGATCCTCTACACTGCTTAGCCAGTTTGAAATACATTAACCTGATTTTGGGGGGATGAGTCAGGTAATGGTACATCGGTTCAGCACAGCGACTTGGCTGGCAAGCAGGGAATTTGATGTCTGTCTTCATTCATCTTTGGCTTTCACAGGCTGTTGGACTGATATCTGTTCGTGTTAACCTGAGGGACTAGGGAATGCAGGTGCTCTGTTCACTCAGTCGAAGCCTTCTCCCATCTGAGTAAATGATAGTCATCAAAGTCTCAGAGGATCTGTTCTCGTCTTTTCCAGCGAGATGAGAGTTTTATCCCCTGCCCTATCCATAACCATACACACATACGTGTGTATGCTTTTTCCTTTTCTGTAAGCAGTGACAGACTAGAACTACAGGGGCTTGTTAACTATAAAAGCACCAAATCAGATGAGAGCCTGGTTTCTCTATGCATTGTAAAAACAATAGCCGCTATCAGCAGAGCTCCAGTCAACTTCTTGCCCAGCTTTTCTGATCTGAGGCAGAGCTGTATTTGATGGGAAGGGACATTAGCTGTATTCTCTTGAGTGCAAGTGTTCACTCCTCTAGGATCCAGTATCTCATACATTCCTTAGGGTAAAAGCAAGGTGAAGTTTTAACAGCCTTCATGGCCCACAGCTCCCAAAGATAGCAGACAGGCTCTCCTGAGTCACAGCAAGATGAAGGTCAGTCTTTGAGTAAGGAAATGCTTCCTGATTTTCCTCACTTCTCCTCCTGATAACCAACACCGTAGGCACCTACAGTCTAAGACTAGAAGAGGAAGTACAGTTACTGAGTCTCCTGTTCATTAGTGAGGAAGTCAGGGAGGCTTTTTTTTTTTCTAAATTGAATCAGAGTCTTGCTAAATTTTTAACCAAGTTGCCAATACTAGGCTTGTACTTATGATCTTCTTGCCTCAGACTTCCAGAATGCTGGGATTAGAGACATGGGTCACCATTGCCAGCTCCAGGGTGACATCTGTAAAAGGACTTTTAACCAGCATCCCACCAGGATGCCTGGCAAATAGGAAAAAATCCAGAAGGAAGAGCTCTGTTAAGTAACAGCAGTGAAGTATATTTTTAGGCCACTAGGACTGCTTGAGGTGGCAAGGGGGACTTACTAGACTTCGCATCCTCAGGGCCAAGGGCAGAGAAGGATGCTGAGCAGGTACTTGGTTTGAGTTTTTGAAATACTTTTATTTAGACAGATAAATTAATTGCTGTAGCTGTACCACGACAAGGATTTGGAAAGAAATATACATACACTCCAGAAGGGATATCAGCAAACAGTAACTAACGAGCCCGGGCTTTTAGGAAGCTTGTGGAGTAATCCTGGTGCTGACTTTCAGTGACTGAGTAGTCAGTGACAGCAGGAGGGGAGACAGAAGGATGGTCATGTAACCCAAGCAGCCTTCCTCTGCGTGGTGGACCCAAGGTTCACTCCATACCCTCCTTTTGCTCTCAGTCCCCATAGATGACATTTTGGCCAGAGTCCTCTCCCCAGTCTGTTGGAACCCCTTGGCCGGCCCAAGTAGACAGTGGGGGCTTGGGACTGACACACCCCAGGGACAGCCTTCGATCCACATGTGACATGTGACCTGCACTTGCCCAGAGCACCTGCACGACTGAGCCCAAATTACCCTCCCTGGGACTTTGCTTGGTAATGCAACCTGATGTGGGTGCCTTTCCTTCTCCATCTTCCCCTCCTCTCCACCAATCTTTCTTGCAAACATTTTCCAGTAAGCCTCCTTTCCATGACTCTTCATCTAAGGTCTGCCTCTAGGAAACCCAACCTAAGACACCCTGAGGGTGAGCTCCTGGAGCCAAGGGACTAGCTCTTCTTCATCTTTGCCCCCAGCACTGTGTTAAGCACAGACAAACCACATTAATGAAAATATTTGTTAGTTTGTACATACCAGACTGTGTTGGGTGCCGCTCTCAGCAAATCTGATCAGATAATGAGTAGAGATCCCTGCCCCTGCCTCCCGGGCACCATTTGTAGGAGGGGCCACTGCTGCCCTCTGACCTTCCCCTTGACCATTCCAGGACAATTGGACTATATCCCTCACTGCAGCGGCCATGGCAACTTCAGCCTCGAGTCCTGTGGCTGCATCTGCAATGAAGGCTGGTTTGGCAAGAACTGCTCAGAACCCTACTGCCCGCTGGGCTGCTCCAGCCGAGGCGTGTGTGTGGATGGTCAGTGCATCTGCGACAGTGAATACAGCGGGGACGACTGCTCCGAGCTCCGGTGCCCGACAGACTGCAGCTCCCGGGGGCTCTGCGTGGATGGGGAGTGTGTCTGTGAAGAACCCTACACGGGCGAGGACTGCGGGGAGCTGAGGTGCCCCGGGGACTGCTCAGGGAAGGGGAGCTGTATCAATGGCACCTGTTTATGTCAGGAAGGCTACATCGGTGAGGACTGCGGACAGCGGCAGTGCCTGAATGCCTGCAGCGGGCGAGGACTGTGCCAGGAGGGGCTCTGTGTCTGCGAAGAGGGCTACCAGGGCCCTGATTGCTCGGCAGGTAGGAAGGGGAACACTGTGGGTGCTGGTAATAATGATGACAACGCGCCACTGTCCTTGAGGAGTGAAGGCGGTTATTAACCATTATTTCTTTTGCCAAAGCACAAAACCACACACTGAGTGACTTACAAAGAAAAGATGTTTATCTTGGCTCACAGTTCTGGAAGTCCAAGGTTTAGGGGCTATATCTAGTGGTGGCTTTCTGATGGCAGAGCACCAAGGTAGTGCAAGGTATCACATGGCACAAAAACAGGAGCATGTGTGTCACTCTTCTGATCTCACTGCTTCATATAAAACCACCAGAATTCAATCATGGGGACTCTACTCTGGTGACTTCATCTACTCCTAATCACTTCCCAAAGACCTCCATCTCTAAACACCATAGCCAGATTTAGTTCCCCCTATCTTAGTAATTCATAATGGGCACTAAATTTCACTTCTGGAGCCGTGAGGGACACACTGAAACCACACCCAAGCTACAGCAGCCAGAGAGCAAGGTCATGGGACCACCTTAGGAAGGCTGTTCTCAAGCTCACAAACAGTTGCACCTGTGTAAAACATCTCCCTCATCTGTCTCAACAGTCCAGAAACATCTTCTTTACAATGCCACTCAAGGGATGATGACTAGGCTACAATGCTCCCTGAATATCTTGGAGTTTACAAATTTCAAAATCTTACTAATTTACAAAATGATCTGGTGTCCACATAGAGAAAAGTGTGTGAAGGCAAGAAATTAAATGTAAATAGGAACAAAGTACTAAAAGCAATAACTAACATTGTATGACTCATTTTGTTCTAGATGACTATAGCACAAACAGGAACCCACACCATATGTGTCCACATTGTGGAAATGGATAGGAAGGAGGGGTACTAAGGTGGAAGTCTAACTCCAGTAGTGAGAAGGATACAAATACCACAACAGGGATGATGATCATGCATTCATATCTGGGTATTTTCATTATTTCACTATTTTGTCAGTGACTATTGCTGATAATACATACTTTAAAAAGTACGGATTAAGTAATTGATCCTTCTAGTGAAAGCTCAGAACATTCACTGGGAAATTCTAAGATAAGAAATAACACCAAACAAACATATTAAAACCTTATAATTGAGCAATTTTATAATTGAGGCATTTCCTAAGGGAGAAATCCTGGGAAACCAGTGTCACCAGCTTACTGTCCTTCAGAGGCGTCAGCAATTCCCACCAAATGACAACACATGCCTTCAACTTAAATTCTTTTAAGACCAGTCACAATTATGAAATAGACACCAAATGATAGTCCACTCCTCAGGAATTTTTTTTCATTTTTCCTATACTGTATTTTCTATATGCAGATATTTCCTTTAGCCTCTAGGTTTTGTTCACTGAATAGGAATATCTTTCTAAAAATGCAGTCATTATAGCAATTCTTCCAAAGCAAAGTTCAGGCAGAAGTTTAGCCTCTGTTCCTGAATTCAAAGTCAACAGGCAGTTCCTGAAGGCAGAAGCATAACCTAGGTCTCACATAGTGGATGAGATCCCCTGAGGCCCACTTGGAGAATGCTAAGGTTCAGTGTGGGCCATGGTGTTAGTACTATGCTGTAGCACACATGCTTCTTCATAGATTCAGCATTTGTAGGCCTGCACATACCTGTCATGTACTTGACCTGCTTTTCTTCAGGGATGGGTCCATTTGCAAACAAAATCTTGATCCAAGCTAGAGTCCAACATGAACTAGAGACAAACCCTTGTCCCATCAGGAAAGACTGAGCAGCTGTTAGAGTAACTACAACTGGGTTGAGTCCAAACTGTGAGCACATGTTACCACCAACACATTATCTCTGCTGCTTGAGGAAGATTTTTGTAGGCCCTGATAAATTACTTTATAGGTTCCCAGGGCATGTGAGGAAGGACAGTTGCATAATCTCCATCTGTTTCTATAGCAACCCTGGAGCCACCTCTCATCGCAGGAGGAAGTTCTCTTAATGCCTGCCTTTAAAACCAAATGCCACAGGTCTCTTCCTGAGGGGTAACTAGGTCATTAGCTGAAGTGCTCCTCTGCTTGCTCTTTGTGAAAAGGCTGTAGGAGAGGGGCTGATCTGCCCACTGTTTGACATTCTGGCCAGGTGCACACATGACATCACTGCTGCTTCCACTGTTTCCAGAAGTGCAGAGAGGAGAGAAGGGTCAGGAAGGAGAAAACATGGATAGCACAGAGTAGACTTCCGTCAAGGTCATCATTTTCTCCTAGTCGAGGACACGGAAAATAGCTGCCCACTGTGTGGATTTCATTGTGATGCTCCCTAGGTCCCTAGGACTTCAATGCATCGTACAAGTGACAGCAAGGCCACTACATTTGACTCCTAGGCTTGATTTTTGTTCACTGTGTGCCACGGGACAAGATCTCAAACTTTCTGCCTCCATCCTCTTTTCACATAAAGATAATAGAACAAAAACAATCAGAATATGAGCACTTAAAACAGCCCTTGGAAAGCTTCTCGCTTTATAGATTTAAAAAGCAGCAATCCAAAGAGACAGAAAGATTTTCACTGAGCCAGACAGCTCATTAATGGTAGAGTAAGCATGAGAACCCTGGTCTCCTACCAACTCCTTGCTGTTTTTAATCCCCTCTTAGATGCTAAGTAAAACAGAATTGAGGCATAAAAATGTTAAAGTCACATACACAAAGAAGTAACCTTTTGATATGAAAACTGTGCCCTATCAAATGGTAACAAATGAGGTGTTAGAGATGAATGAAGAAGCATGCAGAACATTTGTCTGCATCTGCTCCCAGCGGTGTAGGTGAGGGGCCAGGCGGCCTGTGAGCTGACCGCAACTCCCATGAGTAAGAAAAGTGAGGGAACCACCAGGGTGGGGTCTTGAAACAATCCATAAAGTTCTGCCCTTGATTCAAATCAGACCTGTAGCGATTGAGCATCATAGTCTCTACCTCTGTTAGGGTGGCAACCATCCCAAGCTTTAGCACCCGAAGCCACTTTCTCTTTGGAGCAACACATATCATAGAACTAATTCCAACTGCTCTTACCCCATAAGTGCAAAAGTGATACAAAATCTAAAAAGTAAATGGTGTGGCTACTTCGCGGATGAAAAACCCTGATTCTTCAAACTACAGGTTCTTCTTTTTTCACAGACTGTTTATCCCTAAAGTCAAAGTTGGAACTCCAAAGAAAATAAGACTAAATGTTCTCCACTACCATAGACCACAATTAAGATCTAAGTCTCTTTTATAGTTTGACTTGTAGTTAAGTATCATTTTGTTTGATTTGGATTACTACCACCCAATGTGTGCAGCTACTGCACACATTACAGGGCAACTTACAGGGCAAGTGGTGATGGTCTCTTCCATCAAACCACCCCACCCAAGATTGCTTCCACCATCAATGACACTGAGTGTCCCTTTCTGGGTCAGACGTTAAGGTAGCATTCACCACAGAATCACAAAGTTAACAAGATAAAAACTTCTTCTGTGCTTTGTTTTTGCTTTAAAATTCTAAAGTGTTCTGCTTAGCTTAGGCACTGCTGTCATTATTAACTTTATTTTCTGGGGAAAAAAACACAAATGGAATACACTGACTTGTCCCACATGCCCTAAGAGTTGTTGATGACTTGAAATGGCCATTTCTGTCACTATGACAGGCCCAATCCTGCAAAAGATACTCCGAGTCAATGTTTTAAAAAATGTTTTAAAGAGTTTTCTCATCTCTAGGGTGAGCACCGGTCTGGCGATCACATCTTGTAAGAGCATCTGAATGATTTCTAATGTGTATATGTGGAGGGAGTGTGTAGAGGTGAAGGAAACCATCAGGTGCAATTTATAAGCTACTCCATAAACTGTAGGCCCAATTGTAAGAACTCAAAACACAGAACATCTGAGTTTGAAAATCTGTTCTGCTACAACCCAGCTACCTGACTTTTGACCAATCCTCAACTGAGCTTTAGTTTCCTCTTTTGTGAAGTTGATATAATAAATTGCATTTACCCAAACCATCTCATAAGGATGTTATTAGAGGTTTTTTTTTAAATTATATTATCAGCCTATAGGTAGATGGTCTGTCTGGCAAACTGTAGTTAGATGATATAGATTGAAACAGTATATACATGTAAGCCAGAATTGTATATCGGTTGAAAGATTTTAGAGTCTTTTTGCCTGGGTTCAAACCCTAGTTTCTGCATTTGTTTACTGTGTGACCCAGTGTCCTCAGTGACAAAATATTAGCAATAAGAATTCCTATCCCATTATACTGGTAAGCTCAAATGAGTAACTAGCATTGTGCCTGGTACATAATAAATACTCAGTATAGTCATGCCAAACACTGATAGGTACTATGTACCAATTCTTTCCTGGATTCAGGAGCTACTCTATACATACTATACAGGCAGACCTAAAGGTCGTAGAGCTGTTCACAACTTTAATAATGTCAAAATTATAAATGACACAAGCCTATAAAATATCACTTGAGGGTTTAATTATTTACATTTCATTTATGCTTCTTTAGTTTTATAAATTTTTAAATAAATTTTTAATTTTTGTTTCTGTTCATATTTGCCATTTTTAATCAGAGTAGATTCTGCTTTCTAGCATGTTTTATACAATGAATGATTGTGAGCAAAAGCAATCAAAAGAAAGACCCAGCACTGCAAATATATTCTGCTAATTTCTCTCCCTCAAGTCTAGAATCAGTTCAAGGGCTTCTTGTCTCTGCCTTTGCTGAGAATTTGAGGTCCCACTGTGAGCACGAGGGGCCAGGTACTCTCCAGTCATGTGGGCCTGTGCAAAGCAGCTGGCATAGGCATATTCATTTGAAAAGTGAAAGGATGAGATTACCCGGAGGAAAAACTCTAAACCAACAATAACTGTTAAGCCAAGAAAAGCCTCTACTATTCATACATGTAAATGTATAAATTAATTATAACCATTTAAATATTGGCTTGGTCTTTGATTTAATCTACGAGCAGGTCCAATTACAGACACACTGAAGCTGGCCTCCTAATTAGCCTTAAAGGTTCAATTATTTGATGTCCATAGTGTGATGAAGGCTCACTTCCCAAGGGAATCATACATGAAAGGCTATTTCAATGTGGTTTAACCTTTGGTAACTCCAAGTAGCATTTGAAAAGTCAGACAGGAATGAAAATCAAAGCTCTCAAGAATGCTTCTTGGTCATCATTTCCAACGTCAAGGCTAATGAAAATTAGCATAGCATAAGTTACATTTCTTTCATAATTTAAACAGTCTTCTTTTAAAAGGGAAAAACACTAAATGCTTTAATTAGGCCATAGTACATAAGACTTACAGTTTCAGCTCTTTATAATTTGCAAGGTAACTAGAAATGAGTATTTCTACTTGTCAAATCAGAGATTGGTGCTACAGGCAACCTGATAACAATAACATATTAAACCACCAAAACTTTTGATCAGTGGTATGCTGGAAAATATCTACAATTGGCTCCTTGAAGGAAAAAAACAATTAAAACCTCAGCATTTAACCTTTGCTCATTTCCATGGTGTAAATACATTCTCTGTGACCAATTTCAAACGGCCAACATGACATCACCAAATATGAAGATTCTGAGAGATACAACACATAAAAATAACTTGCAGAATAGAGGCAATAGTAAAATGTACTTAAACGATTTAAAATTGCTGTGTCTTGAGTATTTATTACCTTTGTAAGTTTGTTTCTAACATCATTTACTTCACTGGAAGTTTCATCTTTAAATATCACGGCTAGATCTAACAACAGTCTTGCGAAATTCCTGAAAATGTAACAGTCAGTTTTTACAGGCCAGTAACAGCACAGCACTAATGTGTGGCCTCTTCAGACTGGGATGTAAGGACAGAAAATACAAAACATGTTACGAGTCACTCCAGCTATTGAGCCCAGCAGAGCATGTAGACGTGGCGTTGGGGGAGGGGTCTCCGGGGTGGGAAGGCAATCCTCTGAGCTCACGCTGTCTGTGTATTGCCTCCCGGTAGTTGCCCCTCCAGAGGACTTGCGAGTGGCTGGTATCAGCGACAGGTCCATTGAGCTGGAATGGGACGGGCCGATGGCAGTGACGGAATATGTGATCTCTTACCAGCCGACGGCCCTGGGGGGCCTCCAGCTCCAGCAGCGGGTGCCTGGAGATTGGAGTGGTGTCACCATCACGGAGCTGGAGCCAGGTCTCACCTACAACATCAGCGTCTACGCTGTCATTAGCAACATCCTCAGCCTTCCCATCACTGCCAAGGTGGCCACCCGTACGTACCATTCCCCCATCCCGCTTCATTTTTCTTTTCTCCTACATGAGACCATGGGCATTCATGATAGTAGTGTCTTTTCTCAATTCTTTGGGATGCCTACAATGGTTTGATCCTAAGGCAAGATGCTTCAAACATGACCCACTTAGTAAAGGGTATATAGTTAAAAAGTCACTTCTCATGAAGAGTTTCCAAATACAGACAGCTTCCATCAATTATAGAGCCAAAAGAACAAAAAGTTATTTAATTATTGGATACTGCCTTGATGTAAGTGAGGCCCTTATTGGAAGTCACGTATGAGATTTATAGAGACTTTGAATCTATTTATGGATTCAAAACCAGGAGATATAAAATAGGAAATATAATAAGCAAGTGCTAAATGGTATTTTACAGATGGTAAGTGTACCGCAGAGTGAGAAAAAGATCTTTCAAACCACAGCAGACAGCATCTACTTTTCATAGAGAAGTGGTATTATTTCTTTATAGTCCTTTGTCTAGGAAAATACCTTGGTGATCCATTTTAGGTGTAAACTTTGAGGTTCTGGAACATAATTGAGAAAGATTCAATGAAACAAGGGAGAGAGAATAAACAGGGACACAAAACAAGCTAAACTGCTCTCCATAAGAAATGAATAGTTTTCATTTATACCAGAGAAATACTCCTCTAGATGTGTCAATATCTATATATTTTAGGTAGGTTTAATATAAGCTTAGAAAAATAGAAAAGATTACTTACCAATTATTAACATTTAATAGATGGAGCCAGAGAAATAGTATTGTGTTTTTTTCTTTATATACCTCTGAATTCTAAAATTGTTACAGTAAGCCTGTATTACTGTGGAATTTCAAAAACAAAGCTGAAGAATTTAGGTGAGGGAAATTTCTAGTAGGTTGGATACCATGCTACCCCTTGTCACCCCAAACCTACTGGAAAATCTGCATGCTCACAAATGCCTGTGTGCTGAATGTGAGATGTCTTTTGGGGATAGCAAGGAAAAGAGTCTCTGTCTGATTAAATTCTCGAATGAGAACATCCAAAGGCAGTGAGGCCTAAATGATAAAGAGATTTTAGCGGTAACAAGAGACTGGAACAAGAAGTATGACCATGAAAACATCAACCCTTATGATGAAATTCAGAAAGGTCCTGGGTACATAAATCACCAGGTAAGGGATAAAAGATTTGAGCTCATTTCATGTAGGCCTCAAATGACAAGGTGGTATTTGGGTAACAAATGCCAAAAGTCCAGGAAAGGAAAAGGTCAAGGTACAAAGAACCAGCTGAGAAAGTTTCATGGAGGCCTAAGGATCTGGACTGAGCTTCAAAGAAGGCAAGGACAGGGAGTAACAGAGGAATAGGACTAAGAAGTTACTTCGTGCCCTTGTTTTTCAGGTGACAAAAGACTTGCTATAATATTAAACTCCCCCCATGAATGCTGGCTCTATTAATATGCCTGTAATTATCTGTGCTTATATTTGACCCTTTTAAAAATAATTCCTCTGGTGCCTGAGAACTAGTTCTAAATATCTGCAGCAACTGTGGTGAGACGGGTCACCATCTGCTGCTTTTCCCACCTTGCTCAGGGATGAGTCACCAGCCTGTGTCTGGCCTCTCTCCCAAGCCTCGCCTCTCTGATCGACATGCACTCATGATGATGAGGTTTCTATCTCTGTGGTGTTTATTATGCCAACCCAGGGCATCCCCATGGGCAAGCTCCCAGGGAACAAGGACAAATTCATGTGAACTCACCTGACTGGCCTTCAAGTGGATTCAGAATCAGCCTCTCCATCACCAAAAAGCGTGAAGCAGTTTCCAGACAGGAAAGATGGGACTCTGTCAGTTTTCCAATGGGAACAGCCCACAAGAGGCAAAGCCAAAATGGGAGCAGGCTCCCTGGAGAGCTGAGAAAAGTCACACTATCACATTTCAGGGCTGGTAATTGGAACTCCATTAGGACAAGCATCCTTCCACCTCACTAAACCTGTGCGTGTGTGTGTGCATGTGTGTGTGTGTTTGGGGGAAAGGGCTGGAGGGGGCACGGAGGGAAAAAAGGGAGATTAAGACAAGAAAAATAATAACAGGCAAATGTAAATGATGAAGAGAAGGGAGAATAATGAAGAAACAACTGGAAGAAATTTGGAGAAAGTGAACTGGATACAAAATTCGCAGTATTTGGTACCTGCCAGTGTCCTTTGAGTCTGCCTTTATTTTGCTTGCATACATGAAATGGAAAATTCAGACCATCCTAGATTTAGTACTGTGAGGTAAGCAAAATACTTTCAGTGCACATCAGATGATCAAGACAAGCATTCCTGCCTTTGTTCTGCAGTTGGCCTCTCCATAGCCCGCCGTCCCTATGCCTCCCTCTTCCTGCACATGAAATGGAAACACCGCTCTTAGCCACTATTTTGCTCCTGAAGACTCCTGCATAGCTTCCAAAGATAGTGTTTGAGTTCTCTGATAAAAAGGCTTTTTATTCAGTGCCAAGATTTACCACATGAGTGAGGAAAGGAAGCCATGATTCCTAAATTTTGCATTTTCTGTTATGTAAGAAAAAGCAGAAAAAATGGCTGTTCATCAAGTTTGCTCATTACTGCACCCACACTGAGCTCCAGCGCCACAGCACAGTGGACCAGGCCTGTGCCTGGGACTCACTGTGTTTGTGTTAGGATTGGAACTGCCCCCACATGCCCCACACCCACGGCATGGGGGGAGCTCACAGAACAAAGCATCAAGCCGCACTCTCTGCCCCTGCTAGGAGCCATGACACTGTCACCCACATTGCTGTGTTCCAGATCTCTCCACTCCTCAAGGGCTGCAATTCAAGACCATCACAGAAACCACCGTGGAGGTGCAGTGGGAGCCCTTCTCCTTCTCCTTCGATGGGTGGGAGATCAGCTTCATTCCAAAGGTAAAAACCGCCAGCCCGCTCAACAGCCTTCTTTGGAGACCATCAATTCAGACCCTCAACCTGGGATGAGGGCCAACAGGGAATGCTCTACCCAATCTGCATCTCTCTCTCTCTCTCTCTGAACCATTAATGACACAAGAGGCATTTCCTGAGGGTTTGGGCTTAGAATCTTCTTTCACAAAGACCTGAGGACTGACTGACAGGAGTGGTCCCAAGCACAGCACCCTAGCCTTGGATAAGCAGGGCTGTCAGAAACAGCCACCAGCTCAAGCACTCTGGTAAGGTAGCACCAAGACTAGGAGAGCCATCCTTTCTGAGGGTGGGAAAACCAGACGCTCAAAAATTTAAGACTTCTCTTTCAGATGTAAGAAAACCAAAAGAGCCAGGCATGGTGGTACATGCCTACAATTGCATCAGTCTGGAGGGTGAGGTGGACAGACCACAGGTTCAAACCTAGCTTGGGCAACAGCCACTTAGCAACACCCTTTCTCAAAATAAAATGATTTTTTTAAAGGGCTAAGGGTGGGGCTGGGGATTTAGCTCAGCGGCAAAAGCGCCTGCCTGGCAAGCGCAAGGTCGTGAGTGTTCGGTTCCCGGTACCGGAGAAAAACCAAAAATAAATAAATAAATAAATAAAGGGCTAAGGGCTTGGGTTCAATCCCCAACACTGAAGGAAGGAAGGAAGAAAGAAAGAAAGAGAGAAAGAAAGATAGATAGATAGATAGATAGATAGATAGATAGATAGAAAGAAAGAAAGAAAGACCAAATGAAGCCAGTCCCATAGTCAGCCCACAGCTTTAGTCTGTACAGACAGACACAAGAAAAGTCAGTCTGCTTGGCTCCAGTTGCTGAAGTTATAAAAATAACACAAAAACATCCTGGTGTTCCTGAATTATTCAAGTGAATCTGTAACCTATTAATTAAATAACAGTTTCTTTAAAGGAATTTATACTATCTAGTCTATAAGTTTAAAAGTATCCTAAGATTCCTCTCCATTCTTTAAAGTGGTATCTTATTTTATTAATCTTAAAACTGCTTCAGACTTGCCAAGAGGTGCCTGCCCAGTTCTAGCGTGTAGACCCTATGATAGTCTCCCTAACTACCAGTTCAGTCCCACTCCTTTCCTCTGTCTCCAGCTTTCAACATTAGATATAAATTTTTTTCAGTCATTCAACAGATTTCATGACAAATGCCACATTTTGACTACCTAGACTGACTTTACCAATTCTTATAATCCAAAATTCTTAGACACATGGACTTTTGAAGCTACAAAAGACCTTTAATTTTACATTTATTTTATAGAGACCAAGACTCAGAGAACTTAAATGATATCATACACCTACTTGGTGGCAGGCTTAAGACAAATGCCTTAGCCTCAGCTTTCTGTTCTGGAGCTCTAGGACACCAGGATGCCTTATCCTCTTACACGGATGTAGTCATATTATGGCAAGTGAACTACATCTAGACAGGTTCTCTATCCCTGTTAGTTATTGCATGCCTCATCTGGGTTAAAATGACCAAGAAAAATGGTAAGCAGCTGGGTTTACAGAGAGGCAGAGAGAATCATGTCACCCTACTACTATGGCAGAAGGAGTTAGGCCAGGCTGTCTTGTTTTGCATACAATATGTAAAATTCTAAATAAGAAAGGTGCTGGCCAAAGTGTGTCAAGATCAAATGTATGGCCACATGGAATAACTATTGTAACCTATAGGTTGAAGTCACTGGGGGTCATTTGTCACACTGATTAATAAGAGTATAACTATAAATTCTATACAGGATGTTCTCTGAATGATATAGAGACCAAAGAATAAAGAAGAAGGATAGTGTCACAGAAAGGACTGTCTCCTCTCTTTCCAAGAACACATATAAAATGTATGATTAAAATATAGATGATAAATATATGATAGATATAAAATAGATAGATAGATAGATAGATAGATAGATAGATAGATAGATAGATACACCCCGGTCCCAACATCATCAAGTTGCTATTTCTCATTACCTCCTTTACCAGTACGTCTCTTTCCCCCTCCTTTGTAGCATTCTTTGTTCTCTGCTTCTTTTTTTCTTTCTTTGTACTTTGTTTGTGTCACTGAGTCTTAACTCATCTGGATAAATGGAAAACTAGGCAATGACAGATTTGCACCCATGTAACACCTTGAGAAACTCTGAGTACAACAAAGTAAAAGCTCCAGCTCATAAAAAAATCTGAAAATGCCTTAGCTTGAAATATGTAATGTGTACATATAAAGATATTTACACACATAATCACATAATTATAATCTTCTAAATAGCCACGGGCATACTCATCACAATAAGTGTCAAAAAAATGATGGATGCCAACTGTAACCATTGAACATTTAATCTTTGGCAAGAGCGGATTTGTATCTCCTCATGATTAATTTTTATTGGCAAACTCAGAAAACTCAGGAGAAGCCAAATAAATGTTCTAGAAAATTGGTTCTTATTGAGCCGCATGGAGTTGCTGCTGGCCCCAGACACTCAGCTGTTAGCATGGAGAGAGCAGACGCAGCCCTCGTTTTTATTTCCAGTTCGCAATCATTGCTCTACACCTTTGTCTCTCCCTCACATGAGTTCTGTCTTGGTGACTTTGCTCTTTCGCTTTCTCTGCTTCTCCCCACTCTCCAGAACAATGAAGGAGGAGTGATTGCTCAGCTCCCCAGCGATGTCACCTCCTTTAACCAGACAGGACTAAAGCCCGGGGAGGAGTACATTGTCAATGTGGTGGCTCTGAAAGGGCAAGCACGGAGCCCCCCGACCTCGGCCAGCGTGTCCACAGGTAAGTGCCCCCGACCTTCCCCTCGGGCTGCTCAGTTCATCACTCAGGAAAAGCAACTGCAGAATTACACAGGGAGGAGGGAAGCGAAAGAGTATGAGTCCCTCGTAGAGCTGAGGCACTGCAGGGACCTAGAGAAGGATCTCCTCTGCCAGATGCTTGGCTATTCATATTCCTCATTGCTTAGCCTGGCAAGCATAGCAACCTGGGAGAGTGCTCCTTGGTGGAAACTCTCTGTTAAGACTTTTCTGATAGTATTCATGAAGAGGCCTCTTTTTGCAACCCCCTAGTGTCATTAGCTTTGGAACCAACAAGTGTTAACTCACTTTTACCTAGTATGAGATTTGGAAAAAGTCAGCTAACCTCTCCCAAACTGCAATCCATTTTGTGTAATGCCTCCTTATTGAAATGATATAAAGATTAAATTAGATGAAGTTTGCAAAGTGATTACCCCTGTGCTGATAAGAATGAGTGCTTCACACTTGGTATATACAAAGCTATTCAGAACACATGCTTAGAAGAGAAAGCAACAGGAGATAAGCCATTTCAAACCAGTAGGTAAAGTTGGACCGCTGTTCAAGGTGACAGTTTAAGTTGATTATTCTTTCATTCCCACGGTTCATTTCATTCAAGATCATTGTACTTGTAGGGTTGATTCATTAGCTGTGCCATATTTGGCCTTATTGTTTCCTTAGCTAACAAGGGATGTTCAACTTCCGTGTTTTAAAGGAGCCATTGTGTTTTCCATTTTAAAGAGAAAAGAAAAACAAAAACAAAAATAACACAAACAAATACATAAACAAAACAGCATACAGAACAATAAAAATGATACAGAATTTCAAAACGAGGTGATAGGATATTAACAATGGTTGTTATATTACACAGTGGTATCTTCAAAATGCTTGTACAGATAAACAGATATAGGCATGTAAGACTGATCAAACAATTACACATGAACAGTTCTTTTCAATAAACCAACAGATATTAGTAGTACAATTATCCTAGCTATCCTGTGTATACATATACATATTTTTTTCTTTCTTCTTTCTTTTTCCTCTCCCCTCCTTCATCCCAGTTGCTCCTTCCTATTTGAGCAGTTTCTTTTCTCTTTCACAATATCTATTGTATCCTTCAGATTTTATGTACTCTTTTAGGTTCTTATAGTAAGCAGGAAATACGATGTTTGCACATGTGAATCTGATCTATTTCTCTTAGGAGCATGGTCTCTAGTTGGATCCATTTACCTATAAAAGCCTCAAGTTTATCTTTCTTTATAGCTAAGTAATACTCCATTGTATAAAAATACCACATCTTTTTCATCCATTCCTCAGTTGATGGACATTTGTGAAGATAACAGTATATAATATAGCAACCATTGTTAATTCCTTTCACTTTGTTTTGAGGTCATGTATCATTTTTGTTGTTTTTGTGTTGTTTTGATTTTGTCTTCACTGTTGTGTTTTGTTAGTGTTTTTATCTTTAAAATAAAAAATAAAGTAGTCATTGTGGTACATATGTATGTGCTTTCACCAAGAATTTCTCAAAAGTTAAAATTAGCATATAATATTAATTTTCACTTTTCAAATTATTGATAAGAGAGCTCACTAAGACTTTTTTTTCTAAGTAACTTTTCTTGTCAGTAAGAAAAACTGAGATGGGTAAGTATTGGTACAATTTTATTTTTTATAAATAGAAACTGATACCCTTAAATCCAGGACAGGACAGAGACACACACACACACACACACACACACACACACACACACACACACACAGAGAGAGAGAGAGAGAGAGAGAGAGAGAGAGAGAGAGAGAGAGAACAAAGACTATGTCTCGAGACCATGTTTATGCAGTAGGGATTCATACTTTGCTGTTGCATCCCAGTGATATAACACTGGGTGCTGAGACTCACGCTCAGCCCAGGAAACCTGGTTGAAGCCATTACAGCACCAGCATCTGTTCCATCTGGCACTGAGGTTCCATGGCTGTGCCCTGGGGCCAGGATCTGGTGGAGATCCACGCCTCTCATTATTCACTCTCCCATGTGCCAATGAGGGCAGCTCCACTCCCAAACATTTTATATTTTGTACAACTGTTCACGATTTTGTTCTTGAAACAAATTTCTTCACTCAAAAAGAAAAGGCTTTACAAAGCACTATTCTAATCCAAATATGCTTTAGAAGAAACCCCATGGCCTGAATTCTAAAGTGCTCTGTGGGAATCTCCAAAAGGGCAAGGACACAGCTCATCTGCAAGTTTCTGCTGGAACCCGAAGAACGGACATTTGAAAACAAGCATAGATTTTCCACTTCCATCATGGACTGGTTCAGGATCCCAAAGTCATTTTTGTTATTTGATATTGAGAAATCATCAGTAAAGGAAAAAATACTGGAAGGGGGAGAGAGTTTACAAGAGGGGAGATAACAGGACAGTTGAATATTTTTCTTCCATGTATTGAAAGTTCTTAGAGAAGGGAGTCCAGCCCAGTCTTAGTCTTATATTCAAACCACAATTTCATAAAAGTTGCAGTATTGCAGGGGTGGGGGGAAGCTTGAGGTCAAAGTTAAAATTTCAGATGCCATGGTAAAACTAAGCAGAGTTTTTTCAATTAAGAAAAAAATGACCTATTTTTGGCATTGTGTACAGTAGCCATGAAAAAAAAATGGAAAAAAGAAACACATAAATTCCAGCTTACTTCATGAGTAGGACTTATGTTTGTTTGCAAATTAGGGTCTAAATGGAAAGCAAGCCAATACTTCCTTGACTGGAATTGGACATTACAACCAAGTGACCAACCAAAGGGCAGAATCCAGGGGTGGTGATGGAAAAGATGGCTGGCTCCCAGCCCTGTCTGCTGTTTTTAGGAAACGACTGTTTAATTATTTCCCTCTACTAGGGTCTGACCTACACCAACCCCCTCCTGTGAAGTGCTGAGTCCTATCCACACTCAGACTGGCTTTTTCCATATAGGCCATTTTGTGAATGCAAATACAAGACTTCCCACAGCTAGAACCCTCTGTGCTACATAATCACATTCTAATATGGTCAGTCCATTATGAATAGGGTCTTTGGATCTAAAGAGTTGAAGGACAAAAGCTTTATGTGGTCATTGGCGTTTTCCCTGATGACTTCTATTTTTCTTTTTTCCAAAAGCTCCAGCTCACTAAAATTCTGCCCCTCCTTCTTCATGGATAAAGAGGTTCATCCAGTCACTTCATCTACTCCGCACTCACTGACCATCTACTTTGTCTTGGCATTAAGCTTATACCACAACTAGGAAGCTATTGTCCATCTCATAATTCAATTAAATGAAGTTTAAAAGGTCCTAAGCCAACGAGTACAGCATACTGATTAGAAGTCGTTTGAATGTTTCCCATTGTATCACATGACTACCTCAAATACGAAAAATAGGATTTGTTTTAACACCAAACCAGATGTTTCCAAATGGCCTGGTGATTTTTATTTTGGCTGGTGCTAGACCAAATATTTGAAGTTGCTTCATAGAAATCAGGAAAGGGCTAGCTCCAGCATGAGGCTTGGGTCCCCAGGGAAATTTGAAAAGTTGAGGGACTCAAGGATGACCTGGGACAGTGCTGGGGGAGAGACCCCTTCCTGAGACAAAGCAGAAGATGGTCCAGGAAGTGCTGGTTATAAACAAGTCTTAGCCAAGACTCTAAGGTATTAAGGAAGGGAAACTTACTTTACCTAGACAAAGCAAAAGAGAATATAGAGGGACATAGAACATCTCACAGAAACCTGGGGCCAGAAATTCATGTGGCCTTGTAAAAAACTTGCATCAAAAATGGAACATTACTAATTGAGTTACTTTTTATGTCTTTCTAGAAAGTCCACATGGTCTTTCATTTCTGCTTCTGTCTATATCTGCTCTCTCCCCCTCTTTCTACTCCCCTTTTCATTTTTTCTCACTCCTATCCTCTCTTCCCCTTCCTTCTCCTCTCCCCTCCCCTCAGATGCTTCCCATTTCTATATGAATATGGTAGAGAAGGGCCTCTCCAGGCCTAGCTCTACATGGCCCACAACAGGATAATTAGAGGACCAGGGTCTCTGGTGCCAATTCTCAACCTTTAAAGAATATTAATAGTGCACAGCTCTAGCCAGAAGGCTGTAGTCACAAAGCAAATGCAAACATTGAGGCTAGGCCTACTCTTTTAGCAAGTAATGAGCAATTTTCAAAGAAGGGCATATTAGCTCTGCAGACATCCCATGAGAAGTTCAAAATACCATTTTCTGTTCCCACTAAGCCCTTTCTTTTTCTATTCCCCCTCTACATTCTCTCACTTCCAGTACTCAGTATAACTCTGTGTAACTCAATAGGACCCCAAGTGGGAGCTGAAGCTATGGGTGATGGCCCTGCAGGAGACCAGCCAGCTTTTCTAGGGCCCATGAGGGACATGTCCTGGAGAATCTGAGGACCTGTGTGTACCTGCTGTGCCCTGCTGACTTAGAAATTTGCAACCAGGGGAGAAAACTGACCTACAGTGGCCACTCCTAAATTGGGGTCCTTTTTAATCAGAGCAGCACATTTCCTAGAAGGCATGTCTCAGGTCCACAGGTGCAAGTGTCTGCTGGGGTTGGGTACAGTCAGCAGCTGGTTGGCTGCCCTGTGGGTATGGCTGAACAGAGGCAACCTTTAAGCACTCCTTTTGGCAACCACATCAAGGCCTCAGAAGTTTGGAGAGAGTAGTAATTTCCTCAGAGCTCAAGGAAGGGCAGAGCTGGGCTCCAAGCACACTGCAGAACTCTGTCCTCAGGTATCTGTCCCAGGTATCTGGTGTCAGAAAGAGATGCCAGTAGGTACCATTTTCCTGCCCTAGGAGAAAGTGCCAATACCTGAAAGCTATAGCCTGGTATAAGGAAACTTAGGCTAAATATCAGGGGAAGTGAACTCCAATGTCATCTTCCTGTGCCTCACTTTCTCCATTTGTAAAATGGAGTGATGCTATGTATCCTCTCTTTGACCAGACTAGTGTCAGAGGGAAAGAAGAGAACTGATGTGAAGGCTTATTTCTCAATCAACTTCTCCTTCTCTCTGATCCCTGTCATTCAGTCATTGATGGGCCCACACAGATCCTGGTGCGAGATGTCTCTGACACTGTGGCCTTTGTGGAGTGGACCCCTCCTCGTGCCAAAGTTGATTTCATCCTCCTGAAATATGGCCTGGTGGGTGGGGAAGGCGGGAAAACCACCTTCCGGCTGCAGCCTCCCCTGAGCCAATACTCAGTGCAAGCCCTGCGGCCTGGCTCCCACTATGAGGTGTCTGTCAGTGCAGTCCGAGGGACCAACGAGAGCGAGTCTACGACTACCCAGTTTGCCACAGGTAAGGCTGGGCCAGAGAAAATGAACGTGAAAGGAGCGAGAGAGTGGACTGGGCATTGGCGTACTTACAGCTCTTGCAAGAGGGGTGTGAGAACTTGGGGGCCTCCTGTAGATGTCAGCATCACTGAGTAATGAAAAAGCAGTGAGGAGAGCTAGCTTCTCACCTTAGTTCTGCTGGCCACGCGTGTGCCTCCATAGAAGTCCCTTCTTCCCATGGCTCTCAGGTTTCTGCTTCACAAAATGAGAAGCTTGCCTTGAAAACATTGAAGCTCCCTATTGCTAGCCCAAAGGGCAACTTTGTGAGAGTTCAGGAAGGGTGCCTCTTCCTCCAGACACTTTATGCCATTTGCTGAAAATTGTCATAATAATGCTCTAAACATTATGACTGCACAACCACAGGAAGCACCCCACACAGATCCAGGTGCAAGATGTCTCTGACACCACAGCCTTTGTGGAGTTCTATCACTGCACAAAGCCAACCTCTACAACCATGTAGACCTTCTTCTGAGATCCATGGCTCACCCACTATTTGTGCACATTAGCAATAAGGAGAACAGGAGGCCAGATTCCCACAGAAAGGAAGCTAGATCAAGCGCATGTGAATACCTCCTGCTTGCTGTGATGACCACTGTCATCCCTTCTCAAGGCTGTTGGGACTGAAAGAGTATCCAACAGTGAAGAGAAGCCAGACCTCAGAGTGACTTGTCTCAGCACCCATCAATCAGTCTGGCCAGCTAGTGGGTAAGTAGACCAGGAAATATTAAGCTTCCTGGAAAACTCTTGGGGTCAACAAGGTCTGTGATCAGATTAGTGACGGAGTCTTTAATCCAGATTGTTGGTCTTGGCCTCTCTCCCATGGGGGAGGTCACATGTCAAAGAATGTCTCTGCCAACTTCAAGTTGTCCCAGGAATCAAAGGAAACCCATGATATCTGTAAGATCAAAGAACCACCACCTTCTGACAGAATAGAAGAATCACTAATTCAAGCGTTCTAAACTACCGTGGGTTGTGACCTAAGAGCCCATCACAGAATGGAGCCCAGGGGCCTCCAGGAGCCTCAGTAACCAGCACTCCCTGCTGTACTTCGGTTTTAAATCATGATAAATAAGCCAAAGAGTAAGACAAATGGACACGGACCTATCCCCTAGATTGGAGCAGATAGCTTAGTGGTAGTCAGATGGATTTGCACACTGAACAGCCACTGTGGACCTGAGCTGGTGTGTCTACATGGCAGAAGTGGGAGACTCTTCAGGTTAGAGACCTGAGCCCTAGGAGCAGCCCATCCTAGAAGAGAGAGGAACCAAGAGGCTGTGCCTAGGCCTTGCTACAAAACTCAGCATTAGTGAAGTCCATTTACCCAGCTAAAAAGAGAGGCCGGGAGTCTCCTGATGGAGCTCCTTCTACATAGAAGTCTCTCCCTTCAAAGGAAACAAGTATAGCAAGCTGAAAAAGGCAGGGCTTGATTCAGCAAGAGACGCTGTAAAGTTCTCTCTGCAGCACTTGTACCAGACTCCGTGCTTTCACCCCAGATGTGGTCAGTGGTGTTTTTCACTAAGCACTTCTTGGGATCCCCACAGATGGAATGTGCTTTTCGGAAAAAGGAGCCAAATTCTGCCCATTTCTCTTCCCTTCTTCCCTTCACTTAACCAAAAACATTCCTGGGACTGCATGAACCAGGAATCCTTCTTGGTTAGAAAATTCAAGGTCAGCCCCCCACACACACACACAGCACCACTTGCTCAGGGTGGTGGTATGGTGGTATCTGCTCTGGACCATGAGTCCTGCATTCTTTCCTTCATTTCCAGATAGCTTGGGTTTGAAAAGAGGTTTCTTTGTGCTCTGCTCTGATAAGGAGTTTAAAGTGGCAAAAGCGGGGAAGAGGGCTCTCCAGCAGTGTGATGAAAAGCAAATTCTTGATGTTCAGGTCGACAAGATGGAAGCAGGATTGGCTGGTGGCCCAGGAAAATTCCAATCAAGACAAATACATTCTGCCTCCTCGGAGCTCCCCCTGAGCTTCAGTTTGCTGCCGCTTCATGACTCTCCTTTTCCAGCTGCCTGGCGGATTGGCAGTAGATAGGAGGCTGTCTTCTCCATGCAGACTCAGCCAGCACCTTGGATCTGCTCGCCTGTGTCCCACGACTGAGAGAAGCCATGGGGTGGGAAGACACAAACAGTTTTGCAGCCAGACTCTCAAAGTCTGGGGTTAGCAGGTGCCAGTTGAATGATGAAAGGGTACCCAGACACTCACGGTAGGGCCCTCAGTCATTGCAAAATTCTGCTTAAATTCAAATTAGCCAAAGTGCTTTTCCAGGTGATGGCTTCAACACTAGGAGTGCACTAATTGCACAGGCAATTAAAACAGAGATTTGCTTCCTGCATGGTGCCTGGGTCTTACAGCTATTCTAAAAAAGAAAGAACTCTAATGGAAATGCAGCAAAGCCAGTGGTGAGACAGACACCAGACAAGCATGGAAGCCATCCTCAAAATCTCCCCACCTCAGCTACCCTGTTTTCAGCTGCCCTCCTGGGGGACTCCTGGGACTGTCCTGTCCCCTGGTGCTCTTTCCTTTGAGCGTAACTCTCAGTCTTGGAATTCAGCCACCACTACATCCAAACTGAATGCTCCAGACCTTACTGTATTGTTACGGGCTGAATCTTGTCCTCTAAAAGGGATTAAAACCCTAACATTCAGGTTATATGAATGTGCATTCACTTGGAGATAGGGTCATTGCAGTTGGGAAAATTAAGAAAAGATCATTAGACTGAGCCCTAATCCAATCTGATTGTGTCTTTATAAAAGGAGAAAAATAGGACACAGAGACAGACACGCACACAAAGAAAATGTCATGTGAAGGTGAAGACAGACATACAAATCAAGAAATGCCAAAGGTGGCTATCGAATCATTAGAAGCCAAGATAGAAGTATACCACAGCCTTTTGAAGCCCTTAGACACCAAGATCTTAGACTTCCAGACAATAATCTCCTATAAAGACATCCAGTTTGGAGTACCTCCTGTGTCATCCCTCAGGAACTAATATAACACCCAAGCCACAAGGGTTCAAGCTCCACCTGCTCAGCAGTAATGCCCCTCTGGGATTCTCCAAGAAGTTCTTCCGTAAGTTCAGTCTAGAAGGCATTTGCCAACTCAGCCAAGAGTCTGGATGAGAAAATGAGAGGGGGCTTTCTCCCCTTGCAAGACCAGCTGCTCTTGTCAAAGTTCATCCTGCACTGCTCACCCAAAGCATCCTCAAAACCCCACAGCTAAAATAGGTAACAAAACTTTTCTAGAGGCTTTGGGGTAGCACACAAAACAGAGAAGAGATAGTGTTCAACTGGTCATTAATGTGGATTATTGAACCGCTGGAGTCTGAGCACTGTTCTAGGCACTGAGGCTATAGAACACACAAGATAAATGAACAAAATCCCAGTATATGTGAATAACATTCTAGTGCGGGAGATTGGACAACGAAAAGAAACATACATTTCAATCATGAATACTCCAATGAGAAAAGAAATGGATGAGATGGAGGGAAGCTCCACTGGATTTAGGAATTTTGAAAGACCCTAGGAAATTACATTTTAACTAAGACTTGTGTGACCTAAATCATGGGAGGATCTAGAGAACAGCGTTTAAGGCAAATAGAATGTAATGCAAAGAAAAGCCCTGAGGTAGGAATTAGCTTGATGTGTTTCGAGAGTACGAAAAAGGCAGTTCAGCTGGGCCATCAGGGTGGAAATATTAGCAGGTATCTGAGATGCAGACGTAACCAGCTCACTCAGAGGCCTGCAGGCCGATTAGGAGTGTATAATACAGAAAACAGGAAAGTCGTAAGTAGGAGAATTTTATGATCTAACCTATGTTTTAGAGAGTAGGTATATGGCTATTGCCACAGCTCACAAGCCCAGAGGTCTTTGCCTCACCCTGGCCTGCTGGCATTTTATGGAGACCAGCTCAGTTCCAGCCGAAGGGGTGTTCTCCAAATGCTCCTCTGAAACATCAGGTGTCCAGACCCACAGAGCCAGTCATTTCACCTCTCCAAATTGTGAGACTCAACTTCCAAGCCTGTATTCTTCGAATGACCTCTTAGGATTATTGGCATTAAAAGTGTCCAGTGCCTTTCAGAGGAAACACTGCCCCCACCTACAGGATACAAACCCTGTGACCAAAAATTCCCAAAACCACTGGCAGTGACTCTATTTTGTGTCCTTATAAAAAGGAGAAATGTCCAAGCTATCGGGTTTTAGTTGTGAAGAGGTACAAGTCTCAACTTTAACCCTAACCCTAACTTCAACTGCTTTTGCTCTGCCTCAGCTCTGACCACATACCCCAAGTCCACCCAGGCCCTTTGTCAAGCCTCTTCTCCTGCCTGAGATTCAGAGCTATGTGGCCTAGCAAGTCCCTCCACCTGCCTGTCTATCCAATTGCTAGAGAAATAACACATAGAAAGCTCCAAGAATGTACAGGATACAGCATGCTAAAGTACATTGAATGAAGAAACACTTCTCAGAAAAATAAGTTGCAGAGACATATATCTGCTAAAAGATTCACCCAATTTACATCAAGAGACAGAATACTCGCACGCAGAAGCCTCTGCTTTCAGATTGATTCACAGTGTTTTCTTCCTCGCAAGAACAATTGACAGATACTCGCCTTGCTTTGCAAATTACAACAGTCCATTCGAGGTTTTCTTGGAGCAAATGGCTGTTCCACTCCAAATTAAATGTATGTCTGAATGACAAGAAGTGTGTGGAACTTCCTAAGTGACAGATTTTCAGAGAGGCACCTTATTACACAAGTTGTTTATGTCATTCTCCAAATGAGCCTAAGGAGGTGGCCAGTCCTAGGGAAGAGAAGCAGCTCCCCTTGGGTGGTGGAAGAGAACCCAATGCCGATAGTCCCTTCATTACACTGGAATCCTGAGAATCCCAAGAACAGTTTTGGGGCCATATTGCTGAAACTAGTTTAAGAGGCCAGTCCAGGACTTGGACATCTATTTTTGTACCAGGCAACTTGACAAGCATTTTGTAATCTCTTCAGCAATGTGGACTATCAGTATTATTTGCCCCTGTTATGCAGGTGCCCATCAAATCTTCATGAGAGTGGAAAACACATCCATGGTCCCATTACTGCAGGCCTGAGAGCTGAGAGTCAAACTCAGGCCTGCCTGCAAAGCCCATGTTCTTTCCACTCTAGCACATCTTCTCTTTGTACCTTAAGTTTTCAACCTGATAACCTTCCAGCTCTGTCTACACGAGTAAATCTGGAGAAGACATCATGCAATCAAACATCTGCTCTTTGCTTCATGATCAAATTTGATATTTCTCTATTCTATTGGAATCACTTGGGTGTTATCCCTGATTTTCTCCTACTGAGGTTTTCTTTGTTTTGTTTTTAAGTTTATAATATTAGCTTGTTCGTTTTCAAGTTTCTAGCACACCACTGAAACTCTTGAGTGGTCATAGTGGGTTTCCACAATAAAGTATATTGATGTCTAATTCCCACTTGAAACCCTCTGACCTGCCCAAGGAGTTTGTAATGGGCAGAGTAAAAGCTAAGGGCAAGCACGGGGTTCACTGAAACATGAAGCAGAGGGTCAGAGGTGTGGGTTCTCACCCACAGGCTTTTAAAATGCACGATGCACCACAGATGCACATTACTGTGTTCAGTGTTGGTGATGTCTGTCTATTTTTAGAGATCGATGCTCCCAAGAACCTGCGAGTTGGTTCCCGCACAGCAAACAGCCTTGACCTTGAGTGGGATAACAGTGAGGCAGAAGTTCAGGAGTACAAGGTTGTGTACAGCACGCTGGCAGGGGAGCAATACCATGAGATGCTGGTCCCCAAGGGCATAGGTCCCACCACCAGGGCCACCCTCACAGGTAAGACCCATCTCTTTAGAACACAATGGTTGCTGAGTCTACACTGTCATATCTCTCTCTCAATTTACCCATCTTATATCCAACCCATCAGCCAATCCTATCGATTTAAATGGTCTAAGCTACTCACATCTCTTCCCTTAATGACCCCAATAAATCCCCACATTTTCTTCAGCCCCACCTAATCCATTTTTTACCCCATCCAAATACGCTTTTCAAAGTACATTTCTGATTATACCATCATGTTATGCATTTATTCCAGGGTCTTCTCCTTGCACTTAGGATAAATTCAAACCCTTACCATGGCTCCCAAGCCCTGCCTAGTTCCCCTGCCTTCTCAATCCTGCTTTTCCCCATGGTGCTTTCTGTGCTCTGGCCCAATGGGTCTGCTTCCTTAATTCCTCCAACACACCTTCCCTCCTGCCACAGTTCTTTTGCTCTTTGCTTGACTCACTCTGGTGTCCCTTTCAGCTCCTTGTTTGTAAGGCTCTTTGGGAGAAGCCTGTGTGATTCCCTAGTGAGGTTAGATCACCTTATCCTACAGCCTCATCCTACAAGTTACCTCACACCACCTCTCAGCACTGCTCAAATTATGCTCTGAGCTGTGTGGAGGTGATCATTTGATTATTGATCTTCACCTTAGACCTAAAGCTCCCCGGAAGTTGGGCCACATTTTTATATATAATTGAATCCCCAGGGCTCAGCACAATGTGTAGAATGCGCTAGATCCTAGATCAGTAACTTTTGCAAGAATGAACACATGAATTAATGAAATAATTAAACTGCAGAAGTTTGCCATGATGGGAGCATAGACTGAAAGAGGAAAGAGGCCTATGATAAGATGAAAGCCTAGCCATGTCTTACAGCCTATTAAAATTTTGGGTTTGTTCTATAGGACAAGTGGGGAGCCACTGAGGGATTTTAAATAAAACAGTGGAATGAGTAGGTATACACAGAGGAAGGCAAGGTCTGAGACCCGGAAACTGGAAAAGAGGTTGTTGCTGGAGTCAAGGAGAGGATGGTGGTATAGACGAAAGCAATGTTCTAGGTCACCAGAATGCCTGACTGAGAAGCAGACCCTGTCTGCTTGGGGTGTGGGACTCAGGCAGTGTGCCTTTGGGGACCCCCCCTGAATGTAACCTGTCCACTGGGTCACGCCCATGGGTGGCTGACTGCTAACGCGGGGCGTGGTTTTCAGATGGGGGAGGTGCTGTGCAGAGCAGTGTGAGCCAGGGGCTACCCACATGCTCCGTGACGCTCTTTTTGTTACGTCTTGGCTTCCTGCAGAAGCATTTGCATCTCACTAGACAAGGAATGCACCACCCGGTGCATACAGTAAACAAGGGCAATATAATCAAAGCTGTTTTTCCTCCAGAGCTGAAATCCCAGGCCTCCTTGCCAAATGAAGCCAGTTAAAGTAAATACAAAAAATGCCTTTTCCAGACAGGCACACTCCTGAAACACAGCAAGGATATGGGAAGTTATGCTGAGCAAGCAGGTTAACAGGAGTGAATTAGACACAGAAAGGACAGAGCAGCTGGTGTAAGGGCTTGCGGAGAGCTAGAGGCATTCACAAAAATTAAGCCAAACAAAAAACCTGAATGATCTGAGAGGAAGCACAGCCCATCCCTGCCTATAGCCGCAGGCTGATTTGGCAATTAGCAGTTTTGCAAAAATGACAGCTCCTTGTTTGGGGAAGGCTACACCATAACATCATGAGAGCTGTACAGAACCAAGTCATCAGCTAGTTATTGTTTCCCACTATCAGGGAAAAAAAGAATGCTCTACATTAATTGGTCATCTATCCTACTCCAGGCACTTTCACACAGTTAAATTTAATCTTCACAAAAACTTAGGGAGGTAGATGTCGTTAGCATTCCTATTTTATGGAGGAGAAGAGTGAGGTTCGGAGAGTGTGAAAACATGCACCCAGATTCACAAAACTAGCAAAGGGCACAGTCATGACTCAAAACCACTTAGAACTTGTGAGTTCCAGTCCAAGGGATCCCTTCCACGGCTGCTTTTACTAAACAAATAAAATATAGTTACTTTTTCTCATTACCTGGACAAAATACCCACACCCAAAGTTAAAGAAGGAAAGGTTTATTTAGCTCACAGTTTGTAGAGGTTTCAGTTCATACTTGGCTGGCTCCATCCAAGGCAGGGTGGCATGGCAGAGGAGAAACAAGTCATGATGGGAAGAAGGCAGCAAAGTAGTGAAGAAGCAAAGCAGCAAGCAGCAAGGGACAAGCAAGGACCATCTTTCTGTCCTTTATATTCCATGCAGGCTACCTCAACCTTAGGGCAGGCTGAACTCACCCCCAAGGTGTTACACCCTTAATTCTACCCAGAATTATGCCAAACCAACCAGTGGACTAATTAGTAACCACACACTGTTGATCCCAGCATCACACACTCTAGATCCAGCCACCCCCGAAAAGGCTCATGAGGTTTTGGGAGGACATCTAGACACAAGCCATAACAATAAGGAACAGTCCAAATGTAAGTGCAACGGACCTAGAAAGAATGGGAAAATTATTGCTGGGTAATGAGCTTAGGCTGGTTCATCTTTCACCGCTGGGGAGACTGAAGGAGGGGCTGTAGGCACAAAGGCAATCAAGCCCAGTACATGGGCCTTGTGGAAACACTGGTTATATAAAGATTGTTCACTTCCAGCTGCAGTTTCTGGGGGAGGGGAAGGAAGCGCCATGAAGGAGAAAAGGAAGAAAGGGACAAGTTCAACTCCAGCTTTAAAAAGTTGTGCTTTTCCCCTCCCTCCCCACTTGGACCCTTAAGAAGAAAATCTTTCATCCTCCAAGACCTATGTAAGACCCCAGAAAGACTCCTGTCTTTTTTGAAGACTGACTGTGTGTGACATATTCAGGGCCCAGACTTTGGTGTTCTACGCAAGGCCGCCACTTCCTTTGTGACTTGGGAAAACTAACCAGTTTTCTAAACCTTTGCTTTTTCTTCTGTGGAGGGGAGACTAATGCCACTAACTGCATCGTATCATCTGAGGCTTTAATGAGTGAATGTGTTTAGTGAGTTCAAGGCTGTGCTACTGATAAAGCATGCTGCTCAGGAACTGAACAGTGCTGGCGAAGAAACAAGAGGAGCTAAGGTGGTTTAGGAGGCCCTCCTCCAAGCGGCATGGTGGCACGCTGCACTATAGAGACCTGAAGTGCATGGAGACCAGAATAGTGACCCCTCCCCCAGTCCTGCTGAGCTGCAGCCTGCATGTCAGAGCCCTGGGAATTCATAGGCTAGAAGCACTCATTCAAAGCCCAGCTTGTGACCTCACCCACTCTGGTTTGAGGTGCACAGCTTCACGAATGTCCATCCTTGGGTGAATTCCTTAAGTTCCTGTGTTCCACATTCCTGTCCTGAAGGACCTCCTATCTACTCTCAGGGCTGTGCAGAAGATGAAATGAAAGCACGCTCGCCTCGATGTGTGAGCACTGAGCATGGAGTCTGGCTCACAGGGAGACTTCAATATCCACTGTGTCATTTAATTTAACTCGCATCCACAAAGCTCAGACTTGGACCCAGGGCAGCCTGAACTTACCCCGGCCCACGTTCAGGTCCCCTTGATTGGCACAGTCGCTATCAACCCTTAAAGATGGATGGCACTCGTATCTCCATTCCTTGCAGAAGCCCTTGTCTCAGGGCCACCACTGATGCTTTTCCTGAGGAAACCAGGCCCTTCCTGACCCTGAGGGTCCTCAGTCATTCAGACGGTTCACAGCAGTGCACCCCTCCCAAACCCCTCACAAACCTCACCGCTTGCAGCGCAGAGCCCAAGCTGGGCTCTCAAATACCAGACATTTTTCCCACTATTATCTATAAGCAGGGGCCGGAGAATTCCCTCTGGACTGAGTTTGTTTCTGCAAAATGGACTGTTTGGGCAATGACTTTTCCCCTGCTCTGGTGACTTCTGCGTCCTTAATGAAAAGTCCTTTTCAGCCTCAGTCTCTTAGCTCAGTTAAAGTCTGTTCAGCCTGTGTACCATATCTGGAGCCTCGCTGAAGTCCCCAAGTCTACATACCTTACGGCTCATCAGGCACCTCCGGGTTAGAAACTGGCACCATGTGACAGGGACTGGCAATACCCCTCACTGTCTGGGCAGCAAGGAAAAGCAATGAGCTATATGGAAAACTACTAGGAGAGGGAAGGAAGGAAAGAGGGAAGAAGAGAGAGAGAGAGAGAGGGAAAGAAGGAGATTCTAGGTTCCCAGCTGGAATGTGATCAAAAACAGCCTCCTCTTGGGTACAGGGGCACACGCCTGTAATCTCAGTGACTCAGGACACTAAAGCAGGAGGATCACAAGTTTGAGCCCAGCCCAGGGAACTTTGTGAGAATCTTCTTCAAAATAAACAATAAAAAAGGATAGAATATAGCCTGATGGTAGAGTACCTCTGGGTTTGATCCCTCAGTACCTTCAAAAAAATAGCTTCCTTGTCTAAGATTAATGTGAATGTAAACATCAGTCCGGCCAGTTCCTGAGGGGAACCCTGCGATCCACATCAGAAGGGAGTGTGTGGCCACAGTGTCATACCCAGAGGAGGACAGAAGGCTATGCGCTTGGCCTCCTAACCTCTCTCCCCAGGCCTCTTTCTTGGCTCGGCCACATTTGAGGAACCCTGTGTCCAGGAAACACAGCAGAAGGAGCCAGACTATGTGGTTCCCCATGAAGCATTTTCCAGCCAGTGCCTCCGGTGCTGTGACTGCCTCTGTTCAGCATCCAGCAAGCTGTTAATCAGAAAAGCCAACAATCAACACGAGAAAGAGAGAGAGCAGATGTTGGCAAGTATGCCTCAGTCAAGTTATCCGGTTAGCCATCTTCAAGTTCTCTGGCTGCTGGGGGACATAAGAGGAGAACACCGCCCAAACCCCATATTTCATGCTCAGGGCTCAGTGGGCTTGTCTCAGGTGGTCTCCTCAAGGGGAGTAGGCAGGAGGCTTGTCCATGAGAAGATTTTTCCATGAAGAAACCCAAGATTCCA